TTGAAAGCTCCATGTGGTAATTGATTTATATATAATGTAACCTGAGAACTTATATGCGACTGAGACGCCCTCTTTGGGAGGTGATGATTAATACACATATAGTTACACAAATATAGTTAAACAAAATGAGGTCAAGGAGTGGATTTCATCCCTATTGGGATAGTTTAGTTACATTGTCATCTTTTGTGTAGATATTTGGGTTACTTCGAATCCTGATCTCGTCGTTACATTTTCCCACTTTTTAAGTCACATTTGGCGGTCTACGAAATACCGTGGAAGTAGTGTAAAGTGTATGTATTCGGGTTCGAAATCAGCGGACTTGGACCTGGTTGATCACACTTGCGACTAAGTGCATGCATGTGTACGCCAAAGAGGTCGGTGACCCCTGGCTCGAATCCCGTAACCTTTCTTAAGGTCGGTACAGAGATATATTGTTCACAGTACTATTGTAATTTGCTATAATAAATAAATACGTGCATCATGAAATCATAAAATCATTCGTATTAATCAAGACATGAGCACGTTACAAAAGAATGTGTGTACTATACTATGCTCTGATGAATTTGTTACATGTACAAGTCTGCTTTATGGGGGGCAACCATGTTGGTGAGTAAAAGTAGGTATTTAAATGGAACGAATATATACAAATTTGGAGAGTTATAAAACATTTGACAGGTGCACAAATTGCTCTTTGCTTTTACCTGCCGGATCGACCAGAACTCATATACATGTAGTAGGTATATGCCTTTCTATATTATCCAAAAGTCTATTTAAGGTTAAATCGACCGATGGCAAACCAATGTCATTTATAACGACCATGAAAATCCTAACAAGACAGATCAATATTTACATGTTCATTCTCTGTGCATGTTTCTGTAAACTAAAATAATGTATTCATTTTGACGGTGTCTAAACACTGACGTCATAATGATTACGCACTGGATGTATTTATTGGTCTCCTAAATCACACTTCTTTCTGATAACTTTAAAAGGTGACATTATCGTGCAAATGTAAATACAAAGCCATGATTCTATATAAACATCATATGAATACAAACAACACAGACAATACCGACATGTCAACAGAATCTTAATTCAAACTCAAATTCGATAAAAAGATTTACATGGAGACCCCTGAAACAAAAGCGTTTTCTGCTTTACCGAAGACGCCCGCAATGTAAATCTTGGTGAATAAAAATAATATCACGACCAACTTCATATCGCACACGAAAATAGATCATTATGACGACACTAAAACTTCCCCGTGATCTTCATCAACCTGTTGTGAGTTTGTCTGTCAGTTGTCGACATGCAAACACCATAGATTGGGGAGCAGGGATAATGCTATCCAGAAATGGGAAATTCAAAATAGGGAAATTGAAATCGTCACGATTATCATAAAGGTTGGTGGAAAGCTGGCCATGTTGGTAAGAGGGAAATATGTCACTGAAAATTGGATTTTGTGTGGTGGTATGAAGAGTGTTGATAAACGCGAGAAATGTTCAGTAAAACTACAAATCATCGATGTATTGTGAAAAGTGAGCAGTATTACAAAGAGAAGGATCGATGGGAAGGAGGAACTATGCATCGAGGGCTTCATTTTAGTATAATATTCCGAAAACTGGAAGGAAGAGTGAGAATTATTATAGGGAGGCAGATTTGTGTCATTATTGGATTTGAAATGGGACGATTATGAGGAGTGAGAGATCGAAAATGTGAGAATGGAATGAGTCATTTGTCGTTGATAAATGCTTTCTTTTCGAAGAATGAGATAAAGTAAAAGAGGTACTGTGAGGAAGCAAATATCATATGGTATTTTGAAAAAAAAAACCTGCAAATCGTCGAGATATTGTGAAAAGTGAACATTAGCAGTATTACAAAGAGAGAGGGTTTATGGGGAGGAAGAGGCTATGCATCGAGAGCGTCATTTTAGTAGAATATTCCGAAAACTGGAAGGAAGAGTGAGAATTATTATAGGGAGGCAGATTTGTGTCATTATTGGATACAGAAAGGGACGATTATTAGGAGTGAGAGATCGAAAATGTGAGAATGGAAAGAATCATTTGTCGTTAGAACAGTAGTGAGGATATGAAATTGAAAGCTCCATGTGGTAATTGATTTATATATAATGTAACATGAGAACTAATATGCGACCGAGACGCCCTCTTTGGGAGGTGATGATTAATACACATATAGTTACACAAATATAGTTAAATATAATGAGGTCAAGGAGTGGATTTCATCCCTATTTGGATAGTTTAGTTACAGTGTCATCTTTTGCGTAGATATTTGGGTTATTTCGAATCCTGATCTCGTCTTTACATTTTCCCACTTTTTAAGTCACATTTGGCGGTCTACGAAATACCGTGGAAGTAGTGTCTAGTGTATGTATTTGGGTTCGAAATCAGCGGACTTGGACCTGGTTGATCACACTGGCGACTAAGTGCATGCATGTGTACGCCAAAGAGGTCGGTGGCCCCTGGCTCGAATCCCGTAACCTTTCTTAAGGTCAGTGCAGAGATATATTGTTCACAGTACTATTGTAATTTGCTATAATAAATAAATACGTGCATCATGAAATCATAAAATCATTCGTATCAATCAAGGCATGAGCACGTTACAAAAGAATGTGTGTACTATACTATGCTCTGATGAATTTGTTACATGTACAAGTCTGCTTTATGGGGGCAACCGTGTTGGTGAGTAAAAGTAGGTATTTAAATGGAACGAATATATACAAATATGGAGAGTTATAAATCATTTGACAGGTGCACAAATTGCTCTTTGCGTTTACCCGCCAGATCGACCAGAACTCATATACATGTAGTAGGTATATGCCTTTTCTATATTATCCAAAAGTCTATTTAATGTTAAATCGTTTAGTTACAGTGATCATCCTTTGTGGAAATATTTGGGTTACTTCGATTCCTGAACTCGTCGTTACATTTTCCCACTATTTAACTCAAATTTGGCGGTCTATGAAATACCGTGGAACTAGTGTATAGTGTATGTATAGATACGCGCATCATGATATCATGAAATCATTCGTATCGAATAAAAGTAGGTATTTAAATGGAACGAACAGGTGATGTGAA